CCCGCAGGCTCAGGCAATCCACTCACCTCAGCCTCCCAAGGCGCGGGATGACAGGCTGAGGATTTGGAAGTTTTTAAAAATTGCATTAACATGTAGTTTGATAATTGAGGGGGTTTTTTTTTTTGCAAGTTCTTAAGTTTTCAGCCACGGCGAGCACCTCCGTCACCCGACGCTAGTCCCAGCCCCGATACGACCTTGGAGAGATCGGGGGGTCAGAGCCCAGCCCTCGTCACGGGTAGGGAGCGGCTTCCCGACACCCGTCCGACTTTCTTTTGAACAGGTCTGCTTTTCACTTAGGTAGCGGACAGAGGCGAGTCGTGACCCTAGTGAGGGGTGTGCGATGAGGACTCTTTACTCGGCCCTAAGGCAACTCCTCATTCAGCGACCCCGCACACACACTCACACACACTCTTCTGCGTGTCTGGTTATTTGTGGAGAGGCTCCTGGAGCGGGACTTGCCGGGCCGCAGGGTCTGGGCGTGTGCGGCTTTAAACCGCCATCAAGGCTGCTCGGGCACACACGCCGTTGAATTTAGGCTTTTTGTATGACAGTCACAGAATTCTTAAGAACGCGTTTTCTTTTCTTTGGACAGGGCCGGGAGACAGAATGGAATCAAACTTATGGCTGACACCGCTGAATTCTGGAGGCAAGAAGACGACTCGAAGGCCTTGGCTTTGTGCCTGGTGGGGGGCGGGGGGCATGCGGGGGAGGAGGAGAAGGAGAAACCCCGGACCCTGCCAAAGATGGGAGCTGTTTCGGGGCGGGCAGGTCTGTGCAAGCCTGCCCCTGAGGCCCCAGGAGGCGGAGAGGCTGCAGGCAGGCTGGCAAACCCTGTTTCCCAGAAGGAAGCGTCCCATAGGGACTTGGGGACGGAACCCATGTCTATGTCTCGGTGGCAGCCAGCCAGCCAAGGTGGTGGATCCTGGGGCCAACCCGCCCCCCCCCCAGGGCTCCCCTGCCTTAGGGAAGGTGAAGGTGTGCGACACGTGACATGCATGCTGTCAAGGCCGCCTGGCCTCAGGGCGAGACTCACGCTGAGTCCTCGCCCTGCCACTGGAACCACAGAAGAACGGGAAATCTCAGAGGCCTTCCTGGAACTGGGGTTGGCCAGAAGCCAACACGGTGGCTCAGCACCCAAGGTGGGGTTGCTTCGGCCACCACAGACGGAAACAGAGTGTGGACCGCCCGTGGAGAAGACGCTCCTCTCCTCTCTCGTTCCCAAACCGCCCTTCAAGTCAGGGAGCGCATGGCACTGCCACGCCTCAGCTCTGACAGGGTCAACGGGGCGGGAGCCATGAGGAAAAGGCAAGATGGCCGCAGAGGGGAAGGCAGACGGAAGTGAAGTTCACGACTCGCCTTTCCCAGACGAAAGGGGCCGGCGCTCGGGCGAGTGAGGTGGGGGAGGCTGGAAGCTTGGTGTGGGGGGGCCTCCCGCGCGAGGGGCTTCGCCGTGGAGGAGGTCTGGGCCAGGAGGAACGGCCGGGGTCGTGGCATGCATCTCGTGGCCAGGCAGCAACGCCCGGCGGCCTCGGCGGTGGGCTGGGGGCCGTCCGGGTCTGTGGCACCGACAGGCTGATGCACGCGCCCCCCGGGGTGGTGCTGGGAGTCGGCCCCCGCGGCGGCCCTAGCAGCGCGTCGGCACAAACGCCTAAGAGATAAATCGTTAGCAAGACCGGACATGCTCAAGGGGTTCTGTGTAATCACCAGTTTCTGGAAATAAAGTATTTTCCGGTTTTTTCTGAGTCGGAGTCTCACAGTTCCGCCCAGGCCGGAATGCAGTGGCACGCTCATGACACCGCAGTTCGTCCTGCTGGGCTCCGGCGATCCTTCCGCCTCAGTCTTCCGCATGGCTGGAAGCACAGGCATGCGCCACAACACCGGCTAATTTTTTTGTTTATCGTAGAGACGAGGTCTCGCCAAGTTGCCCAGGCTGGTCTCAAACCTGTGGGCTCAGGCCATCCTCTCGCCTCCGCCTCCCAAAGTGCTGGGATGACGGGTATAAGCCTCTGCACCCGGCTTAAGTATTTTCCTTGTGGATGATTCCAGGGAAAAAGGCCGAGCGGGCCGCGCAAGCGGTGCAACAAGGGACTGTCGAGGGGGGAGGCCTCAGCCAAGGGGCGGTGCTGACTCCAAACGGCTCCGTGACAGCCTCGATTTCTAGGGCTCCCTCGTTTCAAGCTCGATTGCTGGTCTCTCGTGACATACAACGGTTCAGTCAGTCCCATACTGCCATCCGGGCAACGGGATTCTGGAGAGACAGCGATTTCTCCTGAGGTGAATGTCCGTGGGCCAGCGTGGCTGACGGAAAGCGCAGCGTCATAGTGGCATGGCATGCCCGGGCGACGCCTTCTCCCGTGAAGGAGGCCACGATGTAGATCCCGCTGCCCCCTGCCCCAGGCTAACAGTGAAGTTGCCATGGTGTTGGAAGTGCCGGCAGGAGAGACAGAGGACAGGCCCTCGGCAGCAGGTGGCGTCTTGGGAGGCCCACCCACCTCGGCATTGGCTGCCGGCCCCCGAAGCGGTCGCCGTGCGATGTCTGAGTGGATGAGGTCTTCGCTGTTTTATTTGTGTAGTTTCATGCTGTGTGTGTGCAGCCTTCTGGGGCAGAGTTTGGCTTTAGTTCTAGCCTTTTCCAAAGGCCGTCTTGCCGATCGAGGTCTTCGTTACAGTCCCCTCCTGCTGTCCCGTGTTGCAGGCCGCTCAGGCGGCACGCATGTCGCGGTGTGTTTGATGCGGCTCCTGTGGTTGTTTGGACCGTGGACGGCTCACTGCTCCGAAACACAGCGCTGCTGGTCAGCGTTCCCATGCACGTCTCCTGCGGCGCAGATATGCCCTCCTCGTATACCTGAGAATGGAATTCCAACCTGATGCTGGTGAACGTTCAACCTCAGATGGGACCGTCACATGTTCCAAAGCAGCTGTCCCATTGCGTGTCTGCTGGCGCTGTGGTCAGAGCCTGCAGACCCACCCCCTTCCTCGGCCCTGGCCGCACGTTCCAGCAACACGGGGACTCCGAGACCCTTCCCCCAGGACGCTGCGTGGACCAGGGCATTGGAATTCCTGGGGTGGAGGCAGAGGGAGTCTAGTGGTTAGGGCCAGAGCCCCTGCGTCCCCTTGTAGTCTGGGAGGAGGTGGCGTCTTCTGGGAGGTGCAGGTGGGTGGGGCGTAGGGGGCACCAAAACTGCCCCCTTTCTCTGGTTTAAGGTGCCAGCTCCGAACTCCCAGTCCTCATGGCATTGGCTGTTGGTTTTTTTAAATTTTTTTTTATTGTAGAGATGAGGCCTCGCCAAGTTGCCCAGGCGGATCTCAAACCCGTGGGCTCGGGCAATCCACTCACCTCAGCCTCCCAAGGCACAGGATTACAGACTGAGCCACCGAGGCCGGCTGGCTGTTGGTTTTTAAGGCCAAGATTTCCATCCCCCTCCCCCACCCCTAAGCATTAGAAAGCAAGCAATAAAGAAAGAGAAAGGCAGGCCTTTTGTCATTCCAGATTTCCGAGTAAAAACAGGTCGTTCAGAAGCTCCACAGACTTTTCCCTTTCCTTTGAAACAGCCAGCCTCTTTTCGATTAAGTGCACAAGCCCGTGGTGTTCAGTGTCCCCAGAGACGTATGCAGCCATCCCTCCAGCCCCCTTTAGGACACTTCCGGCCTCTCCGAGAGGCGTGTCCCTCAGCCGTCAGCCCCAGCACACGCCCTCCAGTCCTAAGCAACCACTCACCTGCGCTCTGTCTCCGTGGATTTGCCTGTTTGCACACTGGCATCAATGGACTCATCGAGCACGTGGCCTCTCACATAACACGTCCCCAAGATCCATCCATGTTGTGGCGTGGACCATGGTGTTAGAATCCACACCTGCCTGTTCGTGGCCAAGTTGTAGGTGCCGTGTGGACAGACTGTTCTTTGTTTATCGCTCGCCAGCCCACGACTCTCCTCTGGTGGCCTCTGCTCTCTGCGATTGTAAATAATCCTGCTGTAAACATCCAAGCACGGCTGTTTGTGTGGACACGGTGCGTGTCCCGCGGGCCTGTCCAGACAGCAGAATCACTGTCGTGACGCAGGTCTGTCGAACTCTCTAAGAATAGTTGTCTCCTGAGTGGCTGAAACATCTGCATCCCTGACTGTTCGGTTTCTCCACGTCTTCTCGGCACTCGCCATTTTCTTTGACTTTCTTAAGACTCTCTAGCCTTGACCCGAGGCTCTAGGTGCCTGCGGGCATGGCCGTGACCAGGGCTGCCGCCTTGACGTTACTGTAAGGGCTGTGATGAGTCTGTGTGTGGTGGTGAAGGAAACATCTTTTTTCTTTTTTTGAGTCCACTCTGTCAACCAGGCTGGAGTGCGGTGGTGTGATCACGGCCACCGCAGCCTTCACCTCCTGGGCTGAGGCTTCCCTTCCGCCCCAGCCTCCCAAGCAGCTAGGACTGCATGTGCATGTCACCACGCTCAGCTACCTTTAAAATTTTTTTGGAGAGACAAGGTCTCACTATGTTGCCCAGGCTGGTCTTGAACTCCTAGGCTCAAGTGATCCTCCCACCTTGGCCTCCCAAAGTACTGGGATGATAGGCTGAGCCACTGCACCAAGCCAGAAGAAACAACTTAACATCTCAACATAGAACTCGGCCATTCTGGGAAAGGCCTCCCTGTTTTATCAGCTCGTTGTGCAGTAAGCACTAAGTGCTGTGCTCGGTGCCTCAGGAAGCAGACAGAGGAGCTCCAGAGATGCACCCCACAGTCTCCCAGACCCCATGTCCCAGTTGCCCTGCCCTGGCGGGTGGGGGGCTCACCCTTCTGGTTGGCAGGGGAGGGAGGGTGGAGTGCATTCATTCTTCTTTCCCCTTTACCAGAAAAAACCAAGGATGACTCCACCAAAAAGGACAAGCCTTACAAGATCTTTTTCAAAGATCTCTTTCTTTTCAAAGAAAATGAAATGGCAGCCAAGAAAAAGGTAAGCTTTTATAAAAATCCCAGTCTGCGGAGTGTCAGCATAGTATCCTCTCATCGGTTGCTGGTATGAGCATGGCTGGGTCAAGCCGCGGTGGCAGCTCTGGGCACACCCGAGGGCACAGCAGGAGGCCACTGAGCACAGGCAGGGGCCGGCGAGGGTCGCCACTGGGCGAGAGAGGCAGGTACTCTGCCGCAGTCCAGGGTGACAAGCAGAACGCACCCCTTCCGGGAGGCTACACCCTCATTTCTGAAACGGGGACTGAGTGACACGGACAGCATGTCGTATAGTGTTGGCCGTGAATAAAGTCGTGGGCATCGCTCAGCGATGGCATCGTCTTGGTAACTCACTGAGTAACTTGTTGATGAAATGCGGCTGTATTGATGACATCCAGTAAGAGACGCATGCACGTAGCCAGGCTTGGTGGCTCAGCCTGTGATCCCGTGCCTTGGGAGGCCGAGGTGAGTGGATTGCCTGAGCCCGTGGGCTCAAGACCTGCCTGGGCCACTTGGTGAGACCTCATCTCTGCAATAAATCAAAAATCAGCCGGGCGTGGTAGCGCACGCCTGTAGTTCCAGCTACTTGGAAGGCTGAGGCGGAAG